ACCGGAAATATACTGTTAAATCATTTTATTTTATTATTTAAAAAATATGTATATACATGTTGGGTTCAAAAGGTTCATCCAACAAAATACGCATATAAAAGTTGAATCAGGGAAAATAGAAATATTGAACTACAAATCACAATAAACAAAAACAAAGAGCTTATCCATTATCAGAAATGGGAACCATTAACTAATTGGTTAGATAATGGGTAAATTTAGATGTTATACCAGATCTTCTTCTTTTTTTCTTAGTTTTTTTTTTCTTTATTTTTCCATTATGTGATGTAATATTTTGTGTTGTATGTCCATTATTGAAACAAAATAAAAATATTGTTTAAATAAAAAAATATATATATATATAAATATCACAACATAGCATACAATGTAGTCATGGTGCTTAAAGCGGGGGAGTTGTCACCTGCGCATGTGACAGATGGCCATATATAGCATGTCATTGTTTACAATCAAGCGTCGGCACCCATAGAAATTACAGTTATTTCATAATATGAGATAAATAAAAACAAAAACAAGTGTGCTATGTCATTATTGGAGATCACTGTCAAAATTCGTCGACATTACCGCTGTACTGTCTTCGTGCATACTTTGCGATATTCTCGTGATAACCTCATATTATTGTCACCTTTTTCACCATTATTTAATTGTTTCGTTATTTTTTAATCATTATTTTTCCATTATTTCATCATTATTTCCACCATTATTGGATTATTTCGTTGCTATTGTCAAATTATCTAACCATTCTTTGATTATTTAGTCATTATTGTTACAATATCTCACCATTATTTTCATATTATTTCACCTTGATTTGATCATTATATTTATACTGTACATTTGCTACGAATGGTACTTTTAGTACGAGTGACATTTGCTTGCCATTGTTCTTGATCATGCAATTATGTGACACACGTGACATTATTATCCTCATTCTTGTAATTCAGGGTTTGGGTCCACATCCCAGTATGTTGCGCGTTATTAGCCCCGTGATTCACAGTGGGGTACTACATTTTGATCGGAGAAAAGTGTGAACTATCTGTTTTTCCGTGTTTGTCATGAAAGAATCGCTGACTCGGACCTGTCTTACATCTATTATGAACGCGTTCGAGCAGTTGGAGGGGCCATGGAACTATATACCACTGGTTTATAGTTCCATGGAGAGGCCGAGTTCACGCAGTCATGTGCGCAGGGGAAGTAGCCTAGTAAACACCTTCCTAGTCATCCTTATTCATAACATTATGGAAAGGAACGACCAGGCAATATGTCAATATGTTTTTGTCATTCGATGGAATTCTTTTTAACTGAAAAGGGAGATATATATATATACATTGCAGCTATTGCTTTATTTTCGGCATATTTCACAGATTTGCTTTTATGGGTCTGCTGAATACGGAACACAGTAAATGGGATGTTGGTAAACCATATTTCGACGTGAACCCAGTTTACCTTTTAACAATTGTAAATCACCAGTTTTTAGATAAAAAATCTCCGTTGTTTTCGTCGAAATCAGTGGTAACAGATTGTATTTTAACATCGTGGAAATTTACTTCCGTATTGCGTTAAAACAAATGCCGAAAACTTTAGTCAGTACGACACAGCATTTTGATTTTGACATGTTAGGTCAAGGTCAAATCGTGCCGAAAAAAACCCATCATGGCAGAAATTGCGTAGTTTGTGCACGATCGAAAACACTCCACAACAAAGATAATGATGAAGATTTTGTCTTAGATTGTTTCCCCAAAGACGCTAATTATTTCAGACATAAATTCAGGCATATGGAAAGCGTAATAATAAGCGTAATTGTAATAAAATTTGTGTATTTTTGTAAACATGTTTGTTTCATTATTGTTAAAGTGTCGTGGAAATCAATGACTACAGAAGTCATTTCCCATTGTTTTTCTCTAAACAGACGGTATGGTGAACGAAAGATGTAATTTGAGTAATTTTTCAACCACCCCAAAAAAAAAACTCTTTGCTGAGGTGGTCGTCGTGTATAAGCCCACCTGTTACTTTTCCCGATTTCTCCCCCGGGCCTATGACCGGGGGGGGGGGTACGATATATTGACTACTAAACTTGTAGTTACATAGATGTCATTAACCTGTTATTCAACTTGTGATCACTATCAACAGTTAATGGATAAACTATACAGTGGACCGGGCCAGATTGCCGAATGTATGTCAAAGGTTGTCACAGACAAAACATCAAGAATTCTTGACTGTGGCGCTGGTACAGGACTTGTAGGAGAAGAGGTGAGTTGCTAACAAAGGAAAAAGATGCAATGTCATATTTAGAATATCAGAGGCGGTGGCACGAAATTTTGCTTGGAGGGTCTGCTTCGGCGCGACCTTACAAGGGGAGTCCGGGAGTATGCTCCCCGGAAAAAAAATGAAATCTTGACCGGTCCCTCTGAAACGCCATTTCCTGCATTTTGAGGGGCAAATTTTACATAGTTGGATTTAAGTGAAAAATACACAACGGGTTTTAGCTTGATTGGGGGGGGGGCATTTGTCGGGGGCCCGACCACCCGACCCCCACCTCTCCTAGAGTGACGCACCAGTGCGCCATCATCGTCGTGTACTAGGAGTCATAGACCAGCGTGACACATTGCTGCTAAAGTTTATTGATTGTTTTAGTATAAATACCAGTTTTTAGTAAAAAATACCAGTTTTTAGTATAAATAACAATTTGGACGCTGACAGCGTTAAATTACAGTAATTTTACTATTTTTTCTATAAGATCACATTTTGAACGTGGTTCTGAGATTTTGCGATGAAATGTTTTTTTTTTCTTGCGCTTCTATTTCATTGTACGAGAAATATATGCCAACAATTATGATAGCGGTGGCGGGCCATTTTACCAACATTTTGTCAAGCGTTTTTCTCTATAAACCCAGCTCCAGTTTTATCACGGCATAAGTAAGGAGTTTCGTTTCCTAAAAAAAAACATATCATGTCATCGACAAATGCCGAATATTTTATAACCCACTCAATACAACCTTAATAACCGAGCTTATTACGTGCAGAGAACATGAAACCCGTGATAAAGGCGTCTTTTACTGATATATATCGATCGATTGAGTTGGGAGTTTGCACAGAAGTACTATACTCATTTGTTGTGTTATTTTGACAAATTTATCGAATTGACGGTCGTTTTGTCACCTGTTATTGTGTCCATTGACGGTCGTTTTGTCACCTGTTATTGTGTCCATTGACGGTCGTTTTGTCACCTGTAATTGTGTCCATTGACGGTCGTTTTGTCACCTGTTATTGTGTCCATTGACGGTCGTTTTGTCACCTGTTATTGTGTCCATTGACGGTCGTTTTGTCACCTGTTATTGTTTCCAGAATCATTTCTCACAGAGCTTTGTACTATAATCATACATACGGTGTTACAGATTGCTTCTGACAAATTCTACAAATTTGATTATGTAACACAAAATAACAAAATCTATAGTATTATAGATTTTTTTTCTTTTTTTGTCAATTTATCCCAATGTAGGACATAAATTTAAACTAAATTATTTTTCTAAATCACCAATGATTTTTGACATAATTACATAAATGAATAAAGTTGACATTTTGTGTTGTCTGTGTACACCCATAGTTACATCGCCATGGTTACAACAATGTGGACGGTATAGACATATCTGAAGGAAGCCTAAAGGTAGCACGTGATAAAGGCGTCTATAATAAACTGATTTGTTCTGGATTATCCGCTGAACCGATTGATGGCGTTCAGAAAGGTATGGGGCGACATTAATAAGGAACCAGGAAAGGGGTACTGATCTACCATGACATACGTCTAAAGGAGGACGCATGTGGTCTCACAAGCCACATATAACGAAACGTCCGCTAGTAAGCAGTATTGCCGGAATCTGTACATTGTGTTAAAGGTAGCAACAGAGGCAAAACATGTTAACAATTTACCTGTAGTTCATATATACAAAGCTTGCTATTGTTACAAGCTATACCACACCTGGATGATTCGATCTAAGCGAATACGACAGTATGTATATGCCGTACCAATGTTTGTCTAAGGCACTATCTGACGGCCAATGTCTCTATTACGACTATTGAAAAAAAATGTTTTTATACACATTCATGAGTTGTTAAAAAAACAATATGGACGAAAACATCAATTGTTTAATATTATTGTTTGATACTCCATACTGCAGATCAAATTAGACTATGATTTATCAAATTAAAACAAAAGAAAATTAGATGTGCTAAAAGAACAACATTTCATATCACGATAATTTAAATTATAGTCGTCTGTATTCATCGCTAAACAACAATATTACACATTACATATTTGCGTCCATATTGCATCTTTAATTACGCCACTCGAGGAACACCAGGAAAGGAAAAACAGTTGAAGTTATCACAATACAGTAGTACAACATACTTACTAATACATTTCTACAACAATGTAAACTATCCCATAATATTTTTCACTTTGTTAGATTCATACGACGCGGCAGTCAGTAGTGGGTGCTTCATAGAAACTCATCTTGACGACCGAATTTTCACTGAGTTGACTAGGATTATTAAACCAGGTAACAAACATTACCGTATCAGTATTTTCATTATCTGCAATTCAATCTCAAATTCATTGCTATCAGCACTAGATTATCTGAGATGACAACGCTGTCCCTGGGTCGTTTTTATTCCGGCTGCGAACCGGATCCTCCTTGCCAACCAACCAGTCGCTGCGCGCGCGCACTCACACCCACACAACATAGATAGGTGCGTCGGCCTATACCAAATGATACAACAAAATAATGTACGATGTACATTCTGTGTCGTCTTAAAGCGGGAGGGTCGTCACCTGCGCACGCGCGGGAATTGAGTCCCAAGCGATGATAACAACACACGCTAAGAACACAAAGGCTCATGGGTAGGCGCTTGTTTGTGAACAATGACACGCTGTGGCCCCCTGGCGCATGCGTAGGTGACGACATTCCCGCTTTAATAATTTCAAATTTCCCGAAGACTTTCAATTCGGTCAAACAACCAAAAATAGCTACGTAATAATAAATGTTGTGGCGTTGAAATAATTTATCAATGACATTACTCAGGCAATAAATCTCCCTGGCTCCCACAACGAAGTGAATGTTAGTAACATGTTCAACCCAAACAATTCTTTATCGTCTGCACATGTTGCCCCGTGAACTCTTTCACGCGCTGTATGGCATTTCATGGTTACGTCAGTTTATTTTTAGTAACATCTTGCAATCGACACAAGCGATATTCTTTGTATAATAACGATTTATTCTGTTTGAGTAGGACTGTAGAAACATTATACAATTCTGATGACGAGGGCTCTAACGATCAATATTTCCGACGTGACTTGAAGCATGTATACGCCACCGGACGAATCGATCGATGTAAACATTTTTTTAACTGCTTCCAAGTACTGTGTAATTCAGTCACCGCACATGATTCGAAAACAAACAATTTTACATATAACGGCTTTACCCTCTGAGTTTCCTCAAATCAATACGCCCTCATCGTGCATTTTACGCATAATTCTAACAGTTAAGAATGTTCTGGATTTAAGTGAAATGTTTGATACTGACACGGTAATTTATCCTTCAGCATTGCTTGTCGCATAATTGTCCTGACATGATTTATGCATATATAATAGTTCTACATTATGGATATATGAACATTTGCGTGGTTATTCAAGCTATTTTCCCATCATATCGTATCAGTCACACTGTCAAGTGATTTATTCTTATTCGGCTGCCTGATCCGTATTTGGATTGTATGTACATTAATTATTCATAACAGATGAAGGCCACCCATTTTTATATCCAATTCACCATACGTTTTTAGACGACAAAATAACGTATAGGGGCGACGGCAATCTCGTTCAAATCTATAATTATGTGTGGTTGTGTGGGCATTTGAAATAACAGTACAAACATAATTGTTATCAATGGACGACTACAGATCAAAACGATAACGAGGCTTTGAATGGCGTTAAAGTCAACAATTAACGTCACTGAAGCGCCGTGTCGCTAGAGGGCGCGTTTTTGTGGAAAAGTGTAAAAAGGCGCGCATTGATCCTGTACTTTACTAAATTTGACGAGAATATGTGAGGCGATATTTGATATTGACTATTCTCACATTTCAAGCGACGGATTCGATTCGTCACTGAATTTATCTCACTGACCTTAACACCCTAAGTAGTAATTTTAATTTAATAAATATATTTATCTGCAGGTGGATTTATATGCGTGTTGGTGCATGAAAAAAACCTGGACACTGTGGAGGGGGACACCTTTAAATATTTAATCGAGAAGAAAGCTCTGGAAGTTATTGACAAATACTATGTGAAGAATTATGTTTATGGGAATATAGGTGCATACTTCTACGCCATGAAGGTTCTTTGTTGAGTCACTGTGGAATCAAAACACAGGTTCGAGTTCAGAGACATTACAACCATGGACAGAATAGCGTGTCTAATGCATCTACGTTACGAGTCTGAACATGCGTGTGTTTTGTTATTTACCACCATGTTCCATCTCGATGGCAGAGCTTCTCAAATCTATGAACTTCATCTAGAATATATACATGCCACCACAGTTGACGCAAACACAGAAAACAATGCAGCTCTGTTCGTGCGCGTGCACGTCAAGCGTTCTTACTATACACACAATAAATAGTCACGATTTTCTGCCCGGCTGTATATAATAGAGACAAATCAAAAAGCTTGTATCCAGAAGTAAATATATTTGTTGAGTAGATTTATAACATAGCAATTGTAATCACGATATATAAACCTAACTGTCGTCACCACGTGACAATACATAACAAAGGAAATAACCTCATACCCAATCGGGTAAATCCCAAATAATGGACACCAACAATAACGACAAAGAGGGTTTCGACAAATCACAATACTGAACTGCAGGGATTTTAATATACAGCAATTACCCTAATATGGCTAAAGCTAGGTGAAGTTAGAAAAAAAGATGAATATTCATAGTTTGTCATTGTATGCAAATGTTTTTGATAATACTGACAATGCAAAGCATTCCGAAACACCCACGACTCGTACACAAGTACTATGTTCACCTTTATTAGGACCATGCCATAACCAAATGGTGAAATATAAAAATGATATTTCAGAAGGAAATTATTATTACCAGTGTATATACCAGTACCAGTCTTGTAAGTAATTGATGCTAATTCTATCAAAATGTAATATTATTTCCGTGGATGTATAGTCAAGCTTAAAATGTTCGTTCTTTGATTTGTATACCAGATAAAAAGGTTTTTTTTTTGCACATTTATACTAACAGTATGATTAATCTGAAAAACGAAGAATTTATTAAGTTGTTGGGATTTTATGTTGCATTTGACTTGAATGTGTTGTGGTGGAATGATCTATTGTGTGACTGCGTGTACAATTGATATTAAAATCTAGGATCAGATGAAAATTTTGATTGGAAATTTAGAACATTTAGATTCCAAATAAAACGTCAACTATAATCACAATATGTTTGTAAATATACACGTATTGCTTTGTAAGGCATATATTATTGTAACGTTATGAATCTTTTAGATATAGCATTATCACTGGTTTTGCATATATATATTTAGAGAAACAATATTCTAACTTGTTTTGTGCTCATTTACTGTGATTTGTCAAGCTATTAAGATAATCCTATCTACCTGTTCTGTCCTTATTTTAAACTTGAACTGTTTCATTGCAGTATTATAGCAAACTTGCCAGTAATCACTTTAATGTTTTTTAGTCAATGTACAAAAAACGACGCCATTTTGGGGAGTTATTAAGAACTAAGAACACCGGATTCAAATGTTCTCAATCATCTTAATGTAGGAAAAAACGGTCGTTTCATAACCGTAGACGGAATGAGAGTTATATACAAATAAATAAATAAATAAATAAATAACATATTCATAAATAAGTTTGTGTAGATTTCCAATTTCCGACACCTTTTCTGTTTTTCTTTCCGTTCGCATTGCTACCGTGTATGTTTTCATGATTGTGAATCAATAAATGGAAAAAAATCTTCCAAAAATAAATTTACCATGTTTAACAAATCAGAGTAATAGATTGTGAATCGATCTGATTGGTAGAAACGACCCTGTCATGTTAGAAGCATAATTTTGTGCTTGTTCAAGTTGTTCATCATAGCCCCCAACAACACAGAAGGAGTATAAAAGAAAAACGTAGCGGCATAGTCAATCCTATTGGATTCACTGTTTTCAAGTGTGTATATATAATCTATGTCATGACATTGAAACAAGTGACACATACTGTGTTGTCGGGAATATTAGTTGACTGGTTCGCCCGTATGATGCAGTGCAATATCAAGACATTGCACCAAAACCAGTGCAATATCTATATTGCATCCGAACGAGTGAAATGTCTAAATATTGCACTGGTGCCCATGAGCCATTTAAATACAAAATCGCGACTCTTTTAAAAAGAGTGAACAACATTTATTTTATAACGTGACTACATGGCACTAGGTTTTCATCTCTGTTGACATTAGTAGCTTATGAGTAGAATAATTGAGGGTTTCTTATTATCTCCAATGCTAGAATCAATGTTGAAACTTGGAACGTAGTTGAACTCGGAACAAGCCAGGTGATACATAGTTCATGGCACTTCAAGTAACACTGAGTCAATATAGTATATGACAACCATTTCAGCTCCACCGAAGTAAAACCGTAATGTCTCTAAGCCCGGAGATAAACGGACATAAGGCGACAGTCGGGTAACAGACGCATTCACAGCCTGGAGACGTCTTTATTCTTTAGTCCGATGCAACTTCATTCGTTGCCGTATGCTATATTTTACTTGTTACTTCCACAGTTGTGAACTATATTTTCAGTTAGCTTTGGGCGAGGAAGACGCGACATTGTACCTTTTAATACAGTTACTCTATTATTACTCTAGAGGGACTGTACTTTACCATTATCGGATAATAGTATCGTATGTTTTATCGATAATATTTATATATTGTATGGGACCTCCGTTGATAAATCTAACAATTTCTATTAGATGTAATATATTAGATTTAATAGACATTACTATTCGATGGAGTGACAAAGTTGCCGGATAAATGGATTCTATTAGATCTGACAGAGAATGTTATTGGCGCCATCTTCCAAGTCCCCCAGGGCCGATAATTTCCGATAATATCAGATAAAATGTCGATGTTGAGTCGTCTATTGTTAAATATGCCATCGGAAGTGTGTAGATATTGAAAACACACTTTTCCAAATGTGCCATAAATCCAGTAGAAAAGGAAACTCAATAACTCAGTAGTACCATCACAGAATACGTTATCATCCGGGTATTTAGCATTTTAAAAATGTAAGATGACCGATTGAAGAGAAATACCGTGCCGCGGAGGGATTACATCGTGACATTGATAGAATATCCATAATTATTTTGCGAAACACGTACTTTGGCGCTTGTTTTAGCTATTCAAACCTTGGTGGGTGTACTTTTGATCTACAATTTACCAGAGGCGACGGCACGAAATTATGCATGAGAGGGCTAGATCTGAAATCTAGACCCCCTAAAACGCCGTTTTCTGCATTCATTTTAAGGGGCAAATTTAGCTGACACAAAAGGTTTCAGCTGGATTTTCAGGGGACGCCCTTCAACATTTTTTGCGGTACCCTCGTAATAACCTCATATTATCACTATGGCTCAGAACAAAGAGCTAAGGTATTCATTTATTTCCTTGCGCTAAACAGTTTTCTGAACTACACGCTACGTATTTTGCTGACATTCCTTCCCGTAGACTGCTGTGTTCTACTTCTAATGACAACCACCACCAACATATGCGTCCTTTTATCCATGTCCAATAAAGTGATAAATTACATACTACCAGTTGAACGTTTTAAATCCGCAAATTAATTTCTATTGCCTTAGTCACATCTGCAAGATAAACAAATTTCACAAATAATGATAATGTACACATGTATGGCACGTATTTATATTGCCTACAGATGTTATAAAAACGTGTACTGGTAATTAGTACAACTATAAACACAACAAATACACGTATCAACATCAAATGCTAACTCTTCATAGAACTCAGAAGTGCTTATAAAGACTTTTTGAATTGTAAAGGGTAATTTCATTTTGAAGACATTATCTGTTTATAATACATTTACAGTAAATTAATTAACCATTACTCCAGACGTACAGCCGCAGTATAAATGTGGTTTAAAGCGCGGTAGTCGTCACGCTGCGCATGTGTGACACTTGTGTTGATAAACATTGATTTTTCCAGAATCCAATGCGCTCTTCTAATGGAAATCACAAGTATGAGATTTTCTCTGGGCGTGACTTGCAATAATTACCGGTGACTCTTTCGATACCTTCCAATCACCCAAAAATAGCTGATTAAAGCTTGGTAACGTCTCAGTTTGTTTCTGCCTGCGCAACATCCAAAGTCGCCATATTTGTTTATATGAGACCCATATATCTCGCGCATGCGTGGCGCGACGACTACCACCCTTTAATGATACATAAATCGAAATTCATATTTTCAACTTAAATTTACATACCAAAACAGGAGGGCACATCATCACATTTGTAACATGTTCACAATAATCAACACCAGAAATTTACATGGTTTAAATCACATATACAACTGACTTACTTTTTTTCCTTCACTTTCCAGCTTTCTCCAAACTCAACAGCATCGCGTACAACAGCGCCATCCGGTGTTTGGAAGTCATTACGAGTATCACCATCAGCATTTCCCAGCAGCCCACACAGTTTGTTTTTGTAGGCAGACCCAGTGAAGGAAACACTCAAGATGTGCTTCTTGACCGTCCAATTCAGAGTAAACTTGGTATCCATGGAGATAAAGCTCAGCTTGGTTTTTTTATCTTCATGCTGAACATAGATTGCTTGTGCTGCGGTCCCATGTCCTTCGGCTTTTCCCTGTTTATTAGACAATAACCTTAAAGCGGGAGGGTCGTCACCTGCGCACGCGCGAGAATCGAGTCCCAAGCAACAATAATAACACACGCTAAAACCGCAAAGGCTCATGGGTAGCCGCTTGTATGTAAACAATGACACGCTATGGTCATCTGATGCATGAGCAGGTGACGATTCCCCCGCTTTAATTAAAAGCTTGTCCACTGATTTAGTTTTAATTAGACAACAGGTACGGAGAATGTTGTGACGAAATCATGTAGAAAGACAATTCGAATCGGTAAGTCTCGCACATGTCACACGCGATTGTAACGTGAGTTCAGACACGTGTGATTAAAGATCTCTTTTTTCTAGGCGGTTCTTTCTTACAAGCCTCAAAGTGACATTGGTAGTAAAATAGTTATTACGTATCAATTTTGAAATGTTAACAGAAGTCGAAAGGTATCCCAAGGATAGTATGTCCCATGGCGTCAAGACCGTCATTTGACCATGGGTTTGAAAGGCTTATTTCCAAGACATTGGAATCACTTGCGTGATAATTGACATTGTTTTTTTCTTCAAAACTGAGTCTTTGTTGCGCAGTCTCAAAACCTTTCGTCTCGTCACTGTCGCAATTCAAAGCTAACTACTAGTATATCCCTTTTCAAATTGGACAGTTCGTTGGTGCCCGCCATCCACGACCCAAATAGGTTCGAGGAGCTCAGGGAAGATTTAAGATACATAACACAGAAACAACGAGCACTGACATGCTGAACACTTCTGACAAATTTACATTCCTGTGACGCTTCAGGCCGGCCTAAGTAATGACGTTTTTACTGTGTGAAAGCACGAACCAAATTTTAAAATTGTTCATTTAACAAACAAACAAAAATGGGCCGGCCTTAGGCAAGCTAAATAGGAAACAGACTATAATAGAAGGAAATTGAAAGTTTATATATACATTGTATTTCAATTCTTCACTAAAATTAACAAGTTAGTCCCTGTAGAAAAAGGTCTAACAAGTAAACGTTGAGGGCACATTAACAATAGCTGATAGTGTGTCGTTTCACACTGTTGACAATATAACTAAACCATTTTGTACCTAAATCGTAATATCTGCTATCAACTTACGGTAATAACGTCAAGTCCATTGACGATGGCATATTCGTTTCCAACAGTAATGTTAATAGACACGGTTCTCGTCTTGACATGTTCAGCACTACTATCATCTCTGGGCTCAAACATAGTTGTAACTTCAAAATCAGGATTAGGATGTAAACAGTCCTTGAATAGAGTATACCAGCATAGCCCCTGAAAACTATATTTTCTTCCATCAAATGTCGTCATGTGAGGATCACCAGATACACCAGTGTCTACATAATTACAAGACGTGCATTAATTTGAATACACGCTTAAATATATTTATACTGAATGCGTGTGGATATATAGTATTATTTGAAATTCATGAACAATTCATTGAATTACGAATACCATATCGTATTGTTGGGAAAATATTACAACCACGGCCAAAAGTAACAAAGAAGCTGATATGAATAGAAATATATTATAGTTTCATTATTTATGAATATATAAGTTCAATATTGAATGAATCTCAGTCACTCTACTAAGAGAGTGACTGTGAATGAATGGTCTGTATAAGAACGTTATTACGTTTGTGTAACTATTTTAAATTGTCTCTATATCTTTATATTCCACGTAATGTAACTTAAAATTTAACGCTGAAATGAATCAAGGGGTTATAATAAAACAGTTTATGTGTCGGAACACAGCTTGCAACTGTCATGAATTTGTTTTTGCGTATCTGTTGACCGACTTAATTAGCTGATTATTTGCTGAATTGCTGTGTTATGTCTGTCATCGTTTAGACCTATTTGAAGTTTTGGACGGAACTTGGCTCAGTGATTTGGAACTAATTACGAGATAACCGTCGCGATTCTGACAGTTGGTATTCATAGTTATTAATGTAGTGAACGATTAATCAAAAGATATGACGTATTCAATGCTTAGTGTGATTGGCTTTATGATTGAAGGTTACGCCCTAGAGTCTTTTACTGCTTTGTAATTGGTTAGAGTTTTGAAAATGAATAAAGAGAGTTTTGAGTTGGTCTTGAAGAGTACTCCACGATAGACGCAGTCCTGGGCAGTCGAGTCAAGTCCTGGAGAGTCTTGGGGCGAGCCTTGATGCAGTCTAAGAGAGACTTGGTTCAGCCTTGCGATAGTCTTGGGGATTTTTCCCCAGGGCGCCGTGTCTTATAGAGCGCTCGATTGACCGACTAAGACGAGAGCTGAAACGTATTTCGTTGTGTGTGCCTTATTTGACTGTAAAGTATAAGTGACTTCCCCGATCCCGTACCTCAAGGGGACGAGATATAGAGACGAGACGAGTTCCCCCCCCCCCCCCGACAAGTGTGGAGAACCCCGAGAGTACAAGAATTTTCCCTTGATACAACTTTAATTTACTAGGTATGTATTTCAGGGAGTTTTCATTCAATCTGAGCTTATTGATTTAATTTAATCAATTGTTCAACTTGCCTGTACAATCCACAGGTTTGCCATCGACATAGAAATCAGCATTACATCCACCACAAAAGTTGGAAATACATTGTGCGTTTGGAAACAATGGACACTTTGTGACTGAGCAAGGATCGGCAAAACACGCAACAATAGGAACACCAGGAGGACATTCAACGTCTGTTTAAAAAAATAATATCATCGCATAATGAGAACTATAGAGTATTAAACGTGCGGAGTTATGTCATACCTACCCAAAATAGAATCGAGATTTTGATACAATACAGACTATTTTATAATTGTGTGTATAATCGTAATACATCGCCTAAACTACCTGGAATAGGTTCCATACAAACGCGACCACATCCATTACTGCAACATTTCTCAGTTGCATCACATTCTCCATCGACAGAGCAAAGTAGATCACAGGTTCCAATAGCAGTCGGAGTGGGACATGTACCGGGTGTTGGAGCTATAAAATGAAACCGGTTTTATTCTCTGGCGGTTAACCTTTGTTTAGTAAATCGATAACTCGCTCGTTCAAAGTTTTCAACACGTACCCCTTTAAATCTGCATTGTTTAGTAACAAAGAAAAATATCGGGTCTAACTGTAATCTCAATGACAGAGTTCAAAAATCACATAAAGAGGTATATCTATACACGATGAAATACTCACAACACGATAACAGAGTACATGTCTCGATTCCATCTTTGCAGTAGCTAAAAAGAATAGAAAATATCGGTGAAAGAAACATATTGCTTAGGAAGAATCAACAACCAGGATAATATCGCCGATTGCAAAACATGAATACAAAAATAAAGTGGCAATGTTGCTCTTATTTATATATGTATATCGTTATTTAATTTCCAAGCTTAAAGTTGTCTTATCAGCACATAGTTACTTAAATTTAGATATAATGGCAAAAATTATCGTTCGAATGTCGGCTGCTTGGTATGTACAATGTATTACTGCCTAGCAGTGACTGCTTTGATGCGATCAACCAGGTTATGTTATTCTTAGTGGCGAACACCCTGAAGACAGGGAAATATCACTCGGATATCTGTTCCTAATTAAAACAGGAAGGTTGTCACCTGCGCACGCGCGGGAATTGAGTCCCAATCATCGACGATAACAAAATACGCTAAAACACAAAGGCTCATGGGTAGACGCTTGTTTGTAAACAATGACACAATATGGCCATCTGACGCATGCGCAGGTGACGACTCCCCCGCTTTAAACATTTTGCGCATTCGTCATTCATTTTGGCTGCATGTTGTTTCTTATCAACGAAAAGATCTTATATGCGAATACCAGCGAGATCACGATGGCCGCGAGACAACCAACGAGACTTGTTTTTCGCCCTTCAACTAGTGCTTCTCCTCAACTCTCGCCGCCTTCTTGTTCTCGACGAGATCTATAATCAAGTAGAGGACAGCTTGCACATCGGTTAATTGCATATATCAGATGTTAACTCGCTTACCTCATCGATATTAATAACTCAAACCTAACATTGAAATAACAAAGACGTATAGACTTCAACGCACATTGAGAACAGATGTTACTGCTAAATTACACAAACGCCACAATAAATGCAAGATCACATCTCGGTTTCAAGTTCCATAAAAACGTATTCTGACCTATCATTCGAATCGCGCCGTTTCACGAGCTCGATGTAAACAAACTCTCCAATGAACCCGTGCGGGATTGCACTTATAAGTCGCGTATTTTACCTCGGTAAATCCATAGATCTGATTGGAGGAGCCTCTAAAGCATGCGACCAATCACGGTTGGCGTAACATGTGGTTATAAATATAATGTAGCTTTGTGTTGCCGTCGCGAACTTGAAGAATTGGCGGCCTTTCCAAAGTTCCCACTTACCAGGATTGTCTTCGGTATGTGGTCTAGTCGAATAAAGGTCGGTCTGTGCAAAATATTAAAGTCATTCCCAAAGTCTAATCAGTTCGTAGTTCTTACCACGGAGACATACAGTTGCTATGTTTTCTGACGAGCGACGGTTGAAAATCTATGTTCATATATAAGCAGAGCATATAGCTTGCATCATACACACGAATATTACCGTGCATTTCAAGATGGTCGTATGCCGTAGCTGTGTTTCTTTAGTGTAGTGTCAAATGGGGAAACAAATTAATAAAAAAAAAGATCTAATCAGTTGGATTTTTAGCCCTCATGTAACAGATATGTCAGCTCAATCTCTAGCCTGTAAACTTGTGTACGTGATGCAGCTGTAACGAGCAATTTGACTGGACAATGTGTTGAAGGAAATGTCTCAAGTATTGCCAGAGAGGGCGCACTTGAATACACGTTTGCTATATACGGTCTGCCAAGGTGTACTGGTGAGGCAATGGCTGGATAAATGAACCTTGTCTGTCGAAGATGATTCTGACCAGCCACATCGATGTTCCCGGACATAAGCAGTCGTCGCACCGCGTCGTTGTCGATATGAGCCCCATAGCGACGTAAACTACGCGTGTAAAAATATTAGTTTACATGAAATGCAAACACGCGACGATCGACTGTGGCGCTTTAATAATATACTAGTATTACATATGATAATGTGCTCACCAAGTGTTGCATCCATCACTTGCCGGATATGACGAACCATCAGGGTGTCCGTTACAGTCTCCGCCTGTAAACACACAAATATAGTAATTGAGAATTGTTTCTATCAAATACATACCAGATGAACTGGATCCTTAATATGTGACATTTAAAGAGGGAGGGTCGTCACCTGCGCACGCGAGGGAATTGAGTTCCAAGCGACGATAACAACACACGCTAAAAACGCAAAGGCTCATGTGTAGACGCTTGTTTATAAACAATGACACACAACGGCCATCTGACGCTTTAACATTTTGTAAATTTTCCCGTCAATTAAGAACGAAAGAATTATATCGACCGAAATTTCCAAATCTAAATCCGTGCGAATAATGTGCTAGTCCAAAAGAAATAAACAAGTGATCGATAAACATATCATACACCTCGTCAAACCGGTGAGTTTAATTGTACGAGGCATGAAGCTAATTGTTTTTAAGCATACATTTTAGGATACTGTGATATTTGCCAATAAGCTAGATGTTTCCCCAAGTAAAAACATAAATACGTCTATAAAAAAAGTACACGTATATCGCTTTAACAATGCAGCGGCAAACTACTTTTAATTGGGATGATTATTTTCCTTTTTATTATAAATAATTAAGAGAAAAACCTTTTCCAAACATGGTGACGTAATTGCGAAATGTAATGCATGCAGAAACAATTATTGGCCAAAATCAAGAAAAATAAAAAATCGCGACAAAAATATTGCCCTGGTCACACTGGTCTCTTTCAGTCACCACCATATTTCAAATAGTTAACCCGTTATAGAAAAATAAAAAAATAATCAACGTGACTGAAACTAGTCTGATATCACTGGATACGAGAGCATGCTGAATACGATTATACGAAAAAATAGAATGTCCACTTTCATAGATATCTATAGTCGACTACATGCGCTCGAAATTCATATTTTACACGCAATGTATACATCCAATAAGGGCGCATGTCGAACACAACGCGTCGTGACGATTGCGTCAATTTTAACTTTTATAGTTTTAAAATGTGTGCTGTGTGACATACTTACCACAGTGCAGAATCGTACATTTCTCTATCCCATTATGGCAAAAACTAAACAAACAGAAAATATTTGCAATAACTATTCGAGAATCATCCCCACT